CTCTCTCTCTCTCTCTCTCTCTCTCTCTCTCTCTTGCCCTCTCTCTATCTTACTCTCTCTCTTGACAAGGGACAAAATGGCAGGAGGGCAGAGGGAATAGTCAAAGTGACCAAACGAAGGAAATGTTAACCCAAGTTCTGGAGGAATTCAGGAGGGAGATACATGAAATGAGGATTACAATTAACAACCTGCAAAGTGAGCTGACATCAGCAAGAGAGGAGATCAAGTCCCTCACAGAGTAAAATAAAGAGACCGAGCATCAGATTATCATCCAAAGGGAAGGTGGGATTGGAGCATTGGAAAGAAATGCCTCTGTTATCTTCAGTTATCTTCAGATGATTTCGGGGCTTTTTTAGTGTCCCCGCGGCCCGGTCCTTGACCAGGCCTCCACCCCCAGGAAGCAGCCCGTGACAGCTGACTAACACCCAGGTACCTACTTTACTGCTAGGTAACAGGGGCATAGGGTGAAAGAAACTCTGCCCATTGTTTCTCGCCGGCGCCCGGGATCGAACCCGGGACCACAGGATCACAAGTCCAGCGTGCTGTCCACTCGGCCGACCGGCTGTACCTGAAACATTTGCAGAAAGGCTGAGAAAAAGCTTAGAAGCAATGGACACAGTGAGGGAGGTAGCCATGCAAGCAGCTACCTCATAGGAAGCAGCAAGGTGCACCAGTCAGTTGATGGAGAGAAAAAGATCAGTGGTAGTTGTAGGCATCAAAGAACAGGAAGGATCCAATAGGCAGGAATTGAATAGCAAGGATAGAGAGGCAGTACATGGGCTACTGAAGGGATTACAGATAAGGGGCTGAACAAAACATTGAGAAGGTTTTCAGGTTGGGCTGGTACAACAAGGACAGAAACCGACTGGTAAAGGTGGTGGTTACAAACGAGGCCACCAAAGAGGTTATTTTAGAAAGGAAGAGTCGTCTGCAGTATGTGGAGGGATACAAAAAAGTATTCCTGCAGAGGGACAGGACGAAGGAGGAGAGAGCCAGGGCAGCAGAGGCAAGGAGGAAGCGCAGGGAGAGAGGAGTAAACCAGGAAATCGCAGCCCCCAACACAACAGTCCCAGAGAGAAGAGGGGAACCCACAACCAGCATACCAGCAACACCAGAGGGGAGGGCAACACCACGACCCCCCCTCTGCATAGAAACCCTCCCTTCCCCTCACCCTACCTGCCCCCAGTCAAATGCTCACCCAACCCTCCCTTCTCCCCCATCCCATTCTGACCCTGTCACCCCTCCACCATTCCAACCATGTCCCCCCTCCCACATTTCCCCCCCTGTCCTTCTTCCCCCTTCATCCCATACCCTCCCTATCCCTCATCTCCCCTCACCCCGTATCCTTCATGTCCCCCCTATCTCCTTAACCCACACCCTACCTGTCCCCCCTTCCCTTGAACCCCCACCCCCACACCAAAATCTTCTGAGACCCTGCAAACCGCCTCACGAATCTTCTCACCCAGGCAACAGCTTTCCACCAGCAGAATGCTCGCCAAGAAGGGGGCAAGAAATTGAACAGAAGAAAGTGAGCTTCAAGGCAATGTACACTAACATTCATGGGATTACAAATAAAACAAGTGAACTCGGAGAATGGGCACTAGAAGAAAACCCAGACATGATAGCACTCACAGAAACAAAACTAACGAAAACCATAACAAACGCAGTGTTTCCACAGGATTACTATGTAGTCAGGAAAGAGAGAGAAGGGAGAGGAGGAGGGGGTGTAGCTTTGCTGATAAGAAAAGGTTGGAGTTTTGAAGAGATGGTAATTCAGAACTGTGAAGGTATCAGTGACTACATATCAGGCACCATAGCAACTGGAGGACAGAGAATTATAGTAGTAGTCATATATAACCCCCCACCGAATGACAGAAGACCCAGACAGGAATATGATAGAAACAACTTGGCCACCATCAATATAATGGAGAGAGCAGCTTCTGTGGCTAGCAGGACCAGATGCAGACTACTAATCGTGGGAGACTTCATCCATGGGAAGATAGATTGGGGGAACAGAGACCCACATGGAGGCCCAGACACATGAAGAGCTAAACTGCTGGATGTGGCAACAAGAAACTTTCTAAGTCAACACGTCAAGGGACCGACAAGAATAAGAGGAGAGGATGAACCAGCCTTGCTTGATCTGATATTTACCCTAAATGAGTCGGATATAAGGGAAGTTAAGCTGGAAGCCCCCCTGGGAATGAATGATCATAGTGTATTGAGCTTTGATTACCTGGTTGAGCTAGGAATTATCACCCCCAAAAAAGAACTAGGAAACAAAGGGCTGGCGTACCGAAAGGGAAACTATGAGGAGATGAATAAATTCCTTGGGATATACAATGGGACACAGAACTCAGAACCAAGTCCGTACAAGACATGATGGACTATGTCACCTAAAAGTGTCAGGAGGCTGTAAGCAGGTTTGTCCCAGCCCGACAGGAAAAAACAGAGAAGCAAAACAATGATCCGTGGTTTAATAGGGAATGTATGAAAGCAAAGGAGCTAAACAAAAGGGCATGGAGGAACTTCCGTAATAACAGAACACCAGAAAGTAGAGAGAGATACCAGAGAACCAGGAACGAGTATGTTAGTGTGAGAAGAGCAGCTGAGAAAAGGTATGAAAATGATATAGCTAATAAAGCCAAGGCCGAACCAAAGCTACTACATAGCTTTCAGGAGGAAGACAACAGTGAAGGAACAGGTGATGAAACCTAGGACGGGCGAGGACAGGTACACTGAGAATGACAGAGAGGTGTGTCAAGAACTCAACAAAAGGTTCCAGGAGGTCTTTACAATAGTACAGGGAGAAGTCACGGCGCTAGGAGAGGTGGCAGTAAACCAGGCGACCTTGGAAAGGTTCGAAATTACAAGAGATGAGGTTAAGAAGCACCTATTGGAACTGGACGTGAGAAAAGCTGTTGGGCCGGATGGAATCTCACCATGGGTATTGAAAGAGTGTGCAGGAGCACTTTGCTTGCTACTCTCCATAGTGTATAGTAGGTCACTGGAAACGTAAGACCTACCAGAAATATCGAAGACTGTTAATGTAGTCCCAATATACAAAAAGGGTGACAGGCAAGAGGCACTGAACTATAGGCCAGTGTCCTTAACTTGTATACTATGCAAGGTGATGGAGAAGATTGTGAGGAAAAAACCTAGTAACACATCTGGAGAGAAGAGACTCCGTGATAACCCATCAACATGGGTTCAGGGAGGGTAAATCTTGCCTTACAGGCTTAATGGAATTATACGATCAGGTAACAAAGATTAAGCAAGAAAGATAAGGATGGGCGGACTGCATTTTTTTGGACTGTCGAAAAGCCTTTGACACAGTACCCCATAAAAGGATGATGCATAAGCTGGAGAAACAGGCAGGAGTAACTGGTAGGGCGCTCCAATGGATAAGGGAGTACCTAAGCAATAGGAAGCAGAGAGTTACTGTGAGGAGTGAGACCTCAGATTGGCGTGAAGTGGAGTGGAGTCCCACAGGGCTCTGTACTCGGACCTATCCTGTTTCTGATATACGTAAATGATCTCCAAGGGTGTAGACTTCCTCTCAATGTTTGCTGACGACGCCAAAATTATGAAACGGATTAAGACAGAGGAGGACAGCTTGAGGCTTCAAGAAGACCTGGACAAGCTGCAGGAATGGTCGAACAAATGGTTGTTAGAGTTTAACCCAAGCAAATGTAATGTAATGAAGATATGGGTAGGAAGCAGGAGACCAGATATAAGGTATCATTTGGGAGATGAAATACTTCAAGAGTCAGAGAGAGAGAAAGACCTGGGGGTTGATATCACCCCAGACCTGTCCCCTGAAGCTCATATCAAGAGGATAACATCAGCAGCATATGCTAGGTTGGCTAACATAAGAACGGCCTTTAGAAACTTGTGTAAGGAATCTTTCAGAACATTATATACCACATATGTCAGACCAATCCTGGAGTATGCGGCTCCAGCATGGAGTCCATATCTAGTCAAGCATAAGATTAAACTGGAAAAGGTTCAAAGGTTTGCCACCAGACTAGTACCCGAGCTGAGAGGTATGAGCTACGAGGAGAGACTACGGGAATTAAACCTCACTTCATTGGAAGACAGAAGAGTTAGAGGGGACATAATCACCACATTCAAGATTCTCAAGGGAATCGACAGGGTAGATAAAGACAGGCAATTTAACACCAGGGGCACACGCACTAGGGGACATAGGTGGAAACTGAATGCCCAAATGAGCCACAGAGATATTAGAAAGAACTTTTTTAGTGTCAGAATGGTTGACAAATGGAATGCATTAGGAAGTAATGTGGTGGAGGCTGACTCCATACACAGTTTCAAGTGTAGATATGATAGATTCCAATAGGCTCAGGACCCTGTACACCTGTTGATTGACGTTTGAGAAACGAGACCAAAGAGCCAAGGCTCAACCCCCGCAAGCACATCTAGGTGAGTACACACACAAGGCTGCCAGGAAAAACAGCCCCACCTCCATCAACTAGAAGGGATGACATTCTTCTTAATAAGAATGTCATCTTTTCTGCCGCAAATGTACCGTTGACGCGCGTGTCCAAGCCTAAATTTGTGTTTCATCCATCCACAAAACCCGGTCCTGGCAGGCCACAGCGGAACCGTTTGGTGAACCAGCGTATCTTCCGTTATTTTGTGGTTGTCTCTTCCAGGTGAGGCTCTTCCAGGTGAGGCTCTTCCAGGTGAGGCTCTTCCAGGTGAGGCTCTTCCAGGTGAGGCTCTTCCAGGTGAGGCTCTTCCAGGTGAGGCTCTTCCAGGTGAGGCTCTTCCAGGTGAGGCTCTTCCAGGTGAGGCTTTTCCAGGTGAGGCTCTTCCATGACGATTATGGAAGGTTTGACCTTTAAACCAACTTAGTAAGATATCTAAGGTCAATTTTGGAGTTTATTTTAAACAGTTTTTGAGCCACAAATGCGTGTGATGTACCATTTTCTTCCTTGTCTTCTCTGTCCTGGTAGAGTACACAGCATCCCTCTAACCTTGAACATCTTCACGGAGGACGCTCCCTCGATTAGCCTTAAGCATCCTGACACAGGACGCGCCCGCTCCTCAGCCTGAAGACAGATCACGTGTTTCCTTAATGTCCCGCTCAGACCATTTCTCAGCCAGCGAGCCATAATATTAAATCGTGAACGTGTTAATCAGTTATCCGTTAAGACAACGAAATTTACTTTGGTGTAGGGCTTCAGGCCTCACCATTTAGTAAGTATATTTATATTTTAAATATAACCCAGGACTAAGGTAAACTTTGTGTATATTCACCGCAAAATGGGGTATATTTAGTATGAAAATATATTGACAACTTGGTCAGCAGTGATAGTGAAACCTTCAACTGCCTTGGACGGTCTTATAAACAAGTAAACTTTGTCTAGGATAACATTAAGTTCCAGCAGAACATCTGGACGTTGGGATCATAGGGGCTAAATTATAATAAAATGACAAAATATCGCCAAATATATTATTTTCAATTACTGCAGTGGCCTGATGTTAAAGTTTTGTGACCAGTTCTTGATGTATGGAGCTGTTGGAATGTGTTACACTAAACTTTATGAATAAAAGTCCTATTTTAACTCGACTAAGTTTACACATAAAAGCGACACTATAACAGACAGGACAAGTTCACAACAAAGCTTTATAGAATATGGAAGGGGGAAGGTGATTTAAATGATCAAGCCGAAAACGGGAATACTTAGAGCAGTGACTTAGAAAAATGCGATGGAAGTTAAGTTGCGACGCTGTCAGAAGTGGGCTAAGTTTACACATAAACTGGTCCAAACGGGAGACAAACTTCCTCCACGCACCAGCCACAAGACCCCGCCTGTTGCCTCAACCTGTAAACTGTTTACAGGTTGACGCTACAACCATGACGTAAATGGTTTACAAACCGTCGCTCGCCTGGTACCCTACACTATAGTGGTTACCAAACCGGGTTCCCCGAGCCTGTGTCCGAGGCTCCGCGAGGATTAACAAAACACCTATAAGAAGAAAAAGCGTAACTTGCCACTTTTTGTTATTGTTGAATAAAGGAATTAAATTGATTAAGGTTTTAGCGTGTCCTATTACCATAACAATGAGTCACTTTAAAAGTTGTGTGGCCAGGTACTGGCGTGGTAGTTAGCACTGAAGCAGCCAAGGTTTAACGTGGGGTCAATGTTATTGGGGAAGGGAGGTTCAGTAGAGGCAAGGAGTTCAATTGGCAGTAATAATCGCTACCGGCGCTCCCGCCTGCTACTCGCTGACCATTGTTGTCTTTCTCTCTAGCTTGTAGCATTCACAAATAAAATTGGTGTTTGAAATAACACATTTCAAGAAGAAATGTTACAAATTAACTTTTTTCTCCCCTCGAGAGCAATACAACAGACAACCGCCGTGAAGATTAAGTCCCTGATCTTGGGCCATATGGAACCTTTTGGCTGAAAACCTTGCCAAGCACTGGTCTCCTTTGTCGTGGGAGGGGTGTGATCGGGTCAGAAACATTTTCCCCACAGTATCCAAGCAACTCAGAAAATTTACTCAGCCTACAGGTAGAAGAACAGTCGACTGAACTGTAGCGTGACCGCACGCTAAAAGTTAAATTTAACGAACTGTCAGTAAATGTGTTTTGGATATCAGTGACAACAGTTCCCACCATCTCTCAGAAAGCTGTGAACATATTGATAGAATTCTCAGTGTCGTGCTTGCGTGATCAAGCAATATTGTGTTTATTGAACGTAAAACCAAACAGAGGAACAGCTTGATGTCCGGAAGACCTTCGTGAGTGCCCATCAAAGATGCCAACACCGGTTAAGTTGTTGTGTTATAATATAACAAGCCGTAAGTAAGAGCGGAACCGGGGAAGAGGGATGACAGCCGCCAACAAGACAGGAGTCAGGGTGAGGGATGACAGCCGCCAGCAAGACAGGAGTCAGGGTGAGGGATGACAGCCGCCAGCAAGACAGGAGTCAGAGTGAGGGATGACAGCCGCCAGCAAGACAGGAGTCAGGGTGAGGGACGACAGGCGCCAGCAAGACAGGAGTCAGGGTGAGGGACGACAGGCGCCAGCAAGACAGGAGTCAGGGTGAGGGACGACAGGCGCCAGCAAGACAGGAGTCAGGGTGAGGGATGACAGCCGCCAGCAAGACAGGAGTCAGGGTGAGGGATGACAGCCGCCAGCAAGACAGGAGTCAGGGTGAGGGACGACAGGCGCCAGCAAGACAGGAGTCAGGGTGAGGGACGACAGGCGCCAGCAAGACAGGAGTCAGGGTGAGGGACGACAGCCGCCAGCAAGACAGGAGTCAGGGTGAGGGATGACAGCCGCCAGCAAGACAGGAGTCAGGGTGAGGGACGACAGGCGCCAGCAAGACAGGAGTCAGGGTGAGGGACGACAGGCGCCAGCAAGACAGGAGTCAGGGTGAGGGACGACAGGCGCCAGCAAGACAGGAGTCAGGGTGAGGGACGACAGGCGCCAGCAAGACAGGAGTCAGGGTGAGGCATGACAGCCGCCAGCAAGACAGGAGTCAGGGTGAGGGACGACAGCCGCCAGCAAGACAGGAGTCAGGGTGAGGGACGACAGGCGCCAGCAAGACAGGAGTCAGGGTGAGGGACGACAGGCGCCAGCAAGACAGGAGTCAGGGTGAGGGACGACAGGCGCCACCAAGATAGGAGTCAGGGTGAGGGATGACAGCCGCCAGCAAGACAGGAGTCAGGGTGAGGGATGACAGCCGCCAGCAAGACAGGAGTCAGGGTGAGGGATGACAGCCGCCAGCAAGACAGGAGTCAGGGTGAGGGATGACAGCCGCCAGCAAGACAGGAGTCAGGGTTGGGGACGACAGCCGCCAGCAAGACAGGAGTCAGGGTGAGGGATGACAGCCGCCTGTCCACTGAACATTATATACGAGTGTGAACACAACAGCCATAATTGAGATTGACTGAAAAAAATTGGCCACCATTTTGGAGCGCCGTGTTCCTTCACTAGCTCGCTTCACAAGCCAGAACGACCCAAGTTGGAACCGTAGGCAGGAAAGTCTGGGCAACGAATAGACACGAATATAATATCTTGTATAACAACCGGAACACTTCAGTGAGATCAACAAGGTAGTTCTTCATCCATAAGAAGGCATTCTATTAACTTTTGCTGTTGTAAATTATTTCATTTAAGTTAAAGCTGGATACAAACTGATGAATATATAATATTAAATCATGTAAACGAGTTTCACTTACAGCAGGAGACGTGTTAATTATCGGTACTTAATTAACACAAGCTGTGAATGGTGTTTGCTAAGCTTTAAGACTATACAGTTTTAGCGAGCTTTATCAGGCGATTTTCCCAGAGCCGGGAGGACCTGCACAAGGTAATACTACCTTACTGTGCATATGTTAATTATTGGCCTAGTGTGAACATGTTAGATATAGGCCTCTTGTGGATCCGATAGATATAGACCCAGTGTAAGTCAGGTGGGATAAGTACACGAGTCTGAGTGGTTATTACAAACAAACGCTACTTCCCATAGGCCAGTAACTACCTTTTAAAAAATCATATATTCACATATAACACCAGCCGTTGTAATACTTTTGCAACATCTCCGGCAGTGTGCTCACAATCTTGGTGAATGTCGGAGGCAAGAAGAAGAAGAAGAAAGAAAAGAAGATTACAGCTGTAAAACAATATTGGTATTGCAAGACACGAAAATCATTTCTGATGCATTATTGGTGAGGAACACAACTGTCACCAGGGCCCAGGCAGGGAGGGAGGGAGGCACCACGGGATGGAATGAGGACGGGATAGCAGGGAGGGTGAGGGGAAGAGAGGGCTGAAGGGAGAGGATAGCGGAATGTTGGGAGATATGAGATGAAAGCGGGATAGGAGGAAAAGGGATTAGATGGATGGAGGAAGAGTGATGGAGTGGAAGGGGGGGAAGGGAGTGCAACGTAAGGAAACCGTGATGGAATGTGAGATGGACTGAGAGAGGGAAAAAGGAAGGGAGGGTATAAGGACGGAGGGAAGGAAGGAGATTGTAAGGAAGGGTGACAGTGAGGGAGAGAGCAAGAGAAGATAGAAGAAGGAAGGAGAGAAAATGGGGTGGGAGGAAGGGAGAGAGGGTAACAGTGAGGGATAAAGGAGAGGAGAATAGAAAAGGAGAATAGAAGAAAGGAGATGGGATGGTAGTATGGAAAGAAGGAAGAGAGGGTGACTGGGAGGGACGGACAAGTGGGGGGGGGGGGTGGAGGCGACGGGAAGGGAGGGCGACACGGAACGGAAAACATTGAAAATTTGGAGCAAGTTTTTTCGTATATTTGTGATTGCTTTTCTATCTAGTTTTTGTTTATATTATCGTGTGGGTCTCTGGACGATCACTTTCCCCGCCCAACTCTTATCTTGAATTGTATGTCCATGTTTGGGAATGTGTGTGTGTATGTATATATATATATATATATATATATATATATATATATATATATATATATATATATATATATATATATATATGTCGTACCTAGTAGCCAGAACGCACTTCTCAGCCTACTATGCAAGGCCCGATTTGCCTAATAAGCCAAGTTTTCATTAAATAATTGTTTTTCGACTACCTAACCTACCTAACCTAACCTAACTTTTTCCGCTACCTAACCTAACCTATCCTCTAAAGATAGGTTAGGTTAGGTTAGGTAGGGTTGGTTAGGTTAGGTTAGGTAGGGTTGGTTAGGTTCGGTCATATATCTACGTTAATTTTAACTCTAATAAAAAAAAATTGACCTCATACATAATGAAATGGGTAGGTTTATCATTTAATAAGAAAAAAATTAGAGAAAATATATTATTTCAGGAAAACTTGGCTTATTAGGCAAATCGGGCCTTGAATAGTAGGCCGAGAAGTGCGTTCTGGCTACTAGGTACGACACATATATATATATATATATATATATATATATATATATATATATATATATATATATATATATATATATATATATATATATATATATATATATATATATATATATAATATTTTTTTAATTTAAAATATCTGTGTGTGTGTGTATTCACCTAG